CCTGCTGAGTGACCTAACCTGTTTCCAGAAAGAGCGTGCTGAGATTGCGACTTAGAGGAGATATCTGGGAGATCAGCCGGCTGGGGAGGCAGAAGGGCCCTGGACTGGTGCCCAGCACAACCAGCTTCAAAGTAGCCTTCAGAACAGCGTGTGTTTAAGGCGAGCCTAGCCTGGCTCTAGAAGTACCTGCATCACAGCCGCGCTGTTAAAATGCAGTGCCAACCACGTGCACGCTGTGCCCCACCAGGTGATACCCAGGTGGAGCTCCCTGCCCTCTGTGGGTTGGAAGGAAACTGTGGCTTCAGAAAAGAATTGCTGTTTTAGCCACACTCAGATCTCTACTTCATCTGCAAGGCTTTCCTGGAGGCTCCTTCTACAGCGGGTTGATCTTTCTCATGTTAATGAGAAAAAAAGGAAAGAAACTGACTTCAACTTAAATACATTCTCACTACTCAAACTCTTTCAGTAATCTACGTTTCTCTACATTTTCCTTAGTCCCCGAACTTCATGGAAAAAACAAACCAGTGATCACTTATGTGGGGGATTCAACTGTATTTATATGTAAATGCCAAGAGTGTGTTCCTTTAAATTGGACCTGGTACAGTATGAATGGGAGTGTACAGGTAAGGTCATATTTCTTTAATTTGAAGAAAACAAATAAAAATTTTATTTTATAATAAGATTATAACAGACTTAGAATTGCAAGGACTATTTATATGTCTGCTATCTTTTTCTTCAGTATGTGTTCATAAAGACAGAACAGTGATAAAGAGAGTTGTCATTTGACGTTTTTAGCTTGTTACATTACACATTGGAAGATACTCTTAAATGTTCCATTATCTGTTTTTTGATTTTTTACATTTAGCAATCTATTTAAATTCTTTGAAATAAAGTTATAATTCACTTTTACTTGACAACTTTATAAATAACCCCAACAACAGCAAAAATATTTTTTTTCTTCTTTTTGTGAAAATAACTGGAAAAAAGGCTGTCTTCCTTTCCTGCTGCTGTCTCCCTCCAGACACACTTGTGATAGGAGGCAGTACAACTGCACTATCTCCGAAAAGAATGACAACTCGGTCCTTTGAACTTAGGTTCTTCCTGTAACTGGCCTTGGCTTCTTTTGGCCTCCCAGAGGCTTAAGGGAAGCCAAGTGCTTAAAATTCCTATTAAGGAATTAATGGGTACTCAAAGATCTGATTTGAAAAAAAAACAAACAAACCATAAAACACGCATGAGTATTCAAGAAATCTTTCTGGCTCTTTCTTCCTCCCCAATAGCCTCTAAGAGCATGGAAATGTAGGAAATGATCCCATTGCCTGCTGCTAATGGTCACAGAAATTCAATTCTGTAAAGGCAAGCTGTAATTCTAGAAGGAACAGTATGAGACAGTGTACACCTTAACTGAAACATTAAGTTCCTTCTTTGACAAAGTTGATGCTATCATAGACTGTTGAAGGAGAACAGGGAGAGTGACTGATTCTGTGATAACCTTAGTTTGATTTTTTGAAGAAACAGCTCCCAGCCACCTAGGAGTAGACAAACCATTAACATTTCTTCCTCTCTTCTTATTGCTGATTAGGAAAGGCCATCATTTTGTACATGTAAATAATTTTTTCAAAACATGTAAATATGTAAAAATTATCAATTATGATATTGGAAATGTCCAGTCTAACTTATTTATGCATATGTGACACTGATGAAAATACCCTAAATCTAATTATATTAAACTTCTAGAATGTAGTCTGTGCAGCTCTCCATTTGCTATACTCATTTTCTCTTATAATTTGGCCCTAAGCATAGGTCAGATTAAGAAGTGAGAAAAGTGCAGGGAAGAAGGTGCAGGTCAAAACTTTAGGTCAAGTGTTTTTTTTCAAAGTGTGGGCCAAACCTCTGCATCAGAATCCCCTGGGATGCCTGTTATAACACAGCCCTCAGATTCATCAGTTCCGAGTTAGAGAGACACATGGGTAAGAGCATCATGGGCAGTGCTACGCCCAGGGCTCAGGCTACTATAATTTGGGGGGCACATAATAAACTCACAGAGAGTGCTTCATCAGATAACCTCTGGGAATACTTGTATGCAGGTGAGCATCTATTGAGCAGTGCAAGTGAATGACAGAGCAGTGGAGGAATTAAATACTAGTAGCCTGAGAATAAAATTGAATTTAAATGGATTAAATAAATAAGCCCCCAAATAGCCTAGCATGACTCTTGAGTGGCTGGGAAAATCCAGTGAATATCAGGAGAGAATGAGAGAGAGAGAGAGAAAGGAGAGAGAGAGAGAGAGAGAGAGAGAGAGAGAGAGAGAGAGAGAGAGGTTCAGATATGAAAGGACAGAGAGTGCCCACACCACCACATACACCAGCCTCACCGGGGATGTCCACCCATCCTTCCACATCATCTTTCAGGACGGAAGATTTCATCTTCAGTCCCTGTCAGAGGAACTCCCAATCCCCAGAGCCAGTGATCTTCCTTTATAGGAACGATCAGATTTAGTGGCTTCATTCATTTAATAGTTGGTTGAATGTATCCCTGTGCTTGTGAAGGGAAAGTTCTTTGAACAGCTAGTCGGGAATTAGAATGTGAAATCCAGCTGGCTGTTAACGCTCATGTAATATTTACCCATGATGACCCGTGTGCTGTGGTTTCAGACATTCAGTGGTAAGTACTGACGGCAAAGTATACTTCTCCTTTGCTTGTTGCCTCTTGGAGATCAAACTCTGGTAAGATGAGCTGTTGCTAGTATGTACAGCTTCTCACAAGTTTTAACATGCCTTTCTCTGGTAAGTGGTTCTCTTGGCCTTATCTTATAGCTTTTGCTCGAAACTAGATCATTTAGGACATGTCTCTTGCATGCAATATGATAGGAATGGACTTTAATGTCTCCTTCTATTAGGTTCCTCTTGATGTTCAAATGAGCGATAAGTATGTGATCAGTGGAACAAATGCTAATGAAACAAGACTCAAGATAACGCACCTTTCGGAGGAAGATCAGGGAGCTTACTGGTGCCATGCAATATTCCAATTAGGCGAGAGTGAAGACCGCGTTGAACTTGTCGTGCTGACTTATTTGGTGCCCCTCAAACCATTTCTTGCAATAGCTGCTGAGGTTGCTCTTTTAGTGGCTATCATTCTGCTTTGTGAAGTGTACACCAAAAAGAAAAAGAACCGCCCAGGTAGGAGTTATTTTTTAGATAACATTCTCAAGTTATGACTTAATATATTACAGGGGCTTCAGAGTTTTGGGGAAAATTCTAGTTTATGTTACAATCAATGGTGACAGTGAGCTATGAGCTTGTATTGATGATCTTCCTGTTTCAATTTACTAAACTATTGTAGTACCAAAGTATATCTTTTCCACCATTTTCTTTGGTGTTACTGGTACCTACGTATCAATCAGGTAGTATGTGCTTTGGTCCTGGAATACTGGGAAATTCTGTGATAGCACAATAGAAAAGATTTCAAAGACAAATAATTGCTTTTTCACTTAGATAACTCACTTAAAATATTTGATCAAACATTTCAGAGTTTTCATATAGAGACTAGGTCCTGTCAGTTTCCTAGTTTTGTAGCCTATACCTGATGGATTATGGGTTGAGAAACCAATGCTCTTCCCGTAAGATAATTTATCTTAAATTTTGTGTTCTTTCCTGATTTTGTACTAAAACTTTAATAACTTAAATAAATTTGTAATTAATCTATCAATCAGTCCTGTTTTGAGACTTTGAAGCTCTAGTCTAGACTGTGCTTGATAGAAATTTTAGGTACAAGAGGAGGACAGGATGGAGGTGCGGCTGCCTATGGTCGCTCATCTTTCTCTCATTCCAAAGAGGGGACATAGCACAGTGCATTCTTAACTGGGGGTGGGGGGGTTGAATGAAACATACATGCTCCATAAGAATAATAAACCTATCTTAATATGCATATTCTTCTTTTGTTACACAGATGATGGGAAAGAATTTGAACAAATTGAACAGCTGTAAGTAGTATTTTTTATAAATTTTCACTGAGTGAAATACAGATAAATATGAAATAGAATAAATGCATACAGTTAGGCGAAAATCACGAGTATATTATGTATGCTACTTGTTGTACGTGCCCGTGTTGTAGTGACCATCTGGAGTTTGCCTGCCGACATTGGAATCCCGTTTTCTCCTGGAAAAGTGGGTTTAGTGGTAGTACCTATAACATAGGGCTGTTGGGTTAAATGATACGCTATGTGTAAAATCACTGATGCTGATTCCCTGTCGGGTGGAAGATGACTGGCCTGGGATTCTGTCAGTCACTGTTTTGAAAGCACACAGATTGTGCACTAGTTCTCATACAACTCACTTTGTGGAGAGTTGAGCATGCGGAGGGTTGGGGAGGAGGTTACCAGGGGTATAGTTTGCTGTGCTAAAGCTGGGAGCTTCTAGTTCCTCCAAACAAGACAACTGAGTGTAGAGTCCAGTGACAGAGGAGGCCAAGATTGGGATTCAAATCTTTAGCAACTTCGTTTTATAACTGGAAGCTAGTACCTCTTACTCCATCGTTTTCATCCATCCCCCTCCCCACGGGCAACCATCAGTTTGTTCTCTGTCTCTATGAG